CTGTATTTTTGTCATTTCCAAGTTTCCTAAAATAAAAATTAAAGCAAAAGGCAAGTTTTAGAAATTATAGTTATGGTCCCTGGCCAGTGTGGCTCAGGGACTGAGTGCCAGCCCACAAACTGAAGGGCCGCCAGCTGGGATCCCAGTGAGGGCACACGCCTGGACTGTGGCCTGGGTCCCTTCTTAGGGGCGCGTGAGAGGCAACCCTATCTCTCACATATTGGTGTTTCTCTCCCTTCCTGTCTCCCTCCCTTACACTCTCACTAAATATAAATAAATAATTTTTAAAAAGAAAGAAATAAAATGTTAAGAGAAAGCAAAAATCTGCAAAGTGTGAGATGGACAAGCAGGCACCTGCACCAAAGTCCGCACGTCTCAGATGAGGGTCATCCCACCTGAAAGAGTGGGACCCTCCATCCCTCACCCCTGAGGCACGAACGTAGAGAAACCATGACCTTCACCCATGCTACAAAACAAAAGCCATCCCCTTGTACATTCAGTATAAAACGGTAGGTGGCCATCGGCCCCTGGACTCAGCAAGTGCTGCCAGGGCCCACCAGGAAGAGCTGGCTGCAACTGCGACAGGAAGAAGGCTGGCCCAGAAAGCAGGCCACCGGCTGCCACCAGAAACTCCTGCACTCCGGCCGGGCTCAGGGGAGAACATTAAGGGTTCTCTGCAGGAGAAAGCAGCCTTGCCCTGAGAAAAAAGGGGTGGGGTAGGAAGTACTCAGAGAAAACAAAGCGAAGGAAAATGAGAGGGATGATGGGGTAAATGGCTACAAACGAGGCACAAAGACACACCCTGGCCAAAGCAGGCAGAAGAGGAAAGGGTGCTTCTGGGGCAGGAGCGACGGGCTCAGCCGCGCTGAGGTCCAGCCTCACAGACAGGAAGCAGGAACACTGCTCAGAAGGAAGCTGGAATCAGAGGGAGGAGGAGGCTGACGTTCCCAGCCAAACCTGCAGGGCAGACTAGAAACGCCAAGAAGACTAAAGAATGAAAAGACCCAGAGTGATGCTAAAGGTGAGGAGAAATCTGGCAGTGAGGCAAAAGACAAGAACTTGAGGCCAGACAAGTACTTTGAAGAAATGCAACCAGTAAGAAATGTACATGGTAATGACCAGTCTCAGGAAACTGAGACCTACAGTGAAATTAGCACCAAAAATAAGCTCCAGACTGGCCTGTCCTGAGCAGATGAAGAAAGGTTTAAATCTGTAGAAAGTCGGTGAAATATCTGTTGACCAGAAGACTGACAAACAGGAAAGGCTGACCACCTACTGATGTGGCACAGAAGGCCAGGTCTTCAAAGAAAGGGGGAGCCCACCCTCCACAACCGTGAACTTGGATAAAACTAAGGACAAAAGGCCCACGAGTGGGCCTTTCAAACTCTGAATGAAAGACCCAGAGTGTAGGAAAAACATGGGAGCCAGTGAACTTGTCCAGTTAAATTCAGGTATCCTGATGTGACAGGGTCCCCTCGAGTCCCAACGAGCTTTGGACAACGGGAGAAAAGCTTCCTTGATGAACGTGCTGAGATCCTCTTACAGATGTGAGCCCACATTTGTAAGAGAAATGTGACCTGGGGAAACGTGACCTGGGTTGGGGCTCACCTCTGCAACAGTCACACCTTAACCCAGCGGTCTCCAACCTTTCTGGCACCAGAGACTGGTTTCATGACAGACAATTTTTCCACGGACTTGTGGGGCAGGAGGGATAGATTTGGGATGATGCAAGAGCATTACAGTCGACCACATATCGTCTCAACAGGCCTGGACCAGTACCGGTCCAGCCCCGAGGTTGCAGACCCCTGTCTTAACCCGCTCTCATTCCCACCTTGAAAAAAAATGCTTTGGAAAAAAAACAGAGAAATTCCCAAGCAATATATAGCCACCTTTCAGGGACATTTTCTTCTTTTTGTCATTTTTTCCCTCAACTCACACCCAATGTAATTTTGTTTGTTTTCTTTTAAAAGTCCTTATTAAAAAGTTTCTTATCCTCATGGTTTTCCTACCAGTGTGAGGGTACCTAGGTTGATCCTATACATGGATGATAAGCAAACAAGTTTCTCAGTAACCAATAAAGAGAGATTTCCCTTCCAGTACATGTCTAAAATCATAAAATAGCAGTTACACATATACCTCCATTGAGAAAGGAGCTTAAACCTAGTGCCCAAAACTTGACACCTGAATACCATTCTCCAATAAACAGAACCAGGGCCCGTGGCGAAGTGGTCGATTCCAGGGCCGGCTGGAGAAGACACAAGAGGAGAAGTTCCTGAGGCCAGAAAGTCAGGGAAAGACACAAAAAGGGATGGGGGCACTGCACGGGGACACAGCCAACCTCAAAGAGCCCCCAATGGCCAAAGCTAGAATAAATTAGGCAACAAAATAAACCACATTAGCCCTACACTGTAAGCCAAAGAAAGAATCACACGTCCAACATCACACACAGACAGAGCTAATCAAACAGATAGATGAAGGGGGGTGGCACCACTCTTCCTCACAGAGAATCACAGGGAATCAGAGTGGACGGAACACTGCAGTAGTAACTGCTGCGGGCCAGACCCACCACAGAATGCTGATGGACTGGTGGCGGTCAGGGAGACACGGGATATTCCTATGCAAAGCCTCCAACTATCTTCCCTAAAACACTTCACCAATTACAAAGGTAAAGACACGGTCTTTACAGTGTGACACCTGGCAGACACCACAAGATGAGGTCATTATCACCAGTAATTAGACTCAATATCATTCTCCATCCAAACAGGAGAGAACATACAGAAAAACAAATGGGTGGTCACTCTAAAACTACAAATAGAAAACACTTCCAAGTGTCAATGTTATGAAAAACAAGGACGGTGGGGGAACAGGCATGTTGTAGACGATCGGCGGGTAAATACACACTCTCGGAGTCCGGAACCGAATTGATAAAAAATTTAATGGCCAAAGATTTTCCTGCGCAGGGGCGAACTTCCCCAACTGTGACCGGAGTCACGTAGCTACTCAGAGCTACAAAATGGAAGTCGCACCTGGCTTACAGACTACTGGGTATTTATATTTTCTAGCAAGCAAGCAAAGGCATACAGAAGCAGAGGTGGCGGTTAGCTATTGGCTTATTTAAAAACGGCGAGGGTCCCTGATTGGTGGGTGCTGCTGCTGGCGGGCACTTTCTGGCGGCCGGGTTAGTTACCTTATTTGGCTAGAATTTTAAACCCAATTGTTCCCGGATGTTTGTTCATTACCCTGTTCCAGGAACTGCAGATTTAGGTTTGGGTAATGCCCTAGCTGTAATTTTCCTAGCTGGGTATAACAAGGCACAAACGGAAGGAGAGTAAAGAGACATGACAACTAAGGACAGGAGGGACTCCAGACTGAGTCCTGGCACACTAGGGTCAACAGTCAGACACTGACAAACTCTGCTTAAAGCCACAGTTTCATCAATGGCACTGAACCACTGTTAACGTCTCATGTTTGGTGTTGCACTGGGGTTATACAATGTATTGACCTAAGGCAAACTGGGTAAAGAGGATAAGCGAACTCCGTACAGTTCTGCAACCCTCTGTTAAAGTCTACAATTATTCAAAACTGAAGAAATTTTGAGTTCTTACTGTGTTTTTCTGGTTTCTATCTTAGATATTTAGGATTAATTTGGCAGTGGAGGACATTAAATACAATGAATTCTTATCTTCAACTGAGGTTCATTCTTCCACTAACAAATATTTAATAAGCAACTACTATGTACCAGGCACTAAGGTCCGAGCAGTGAATGCAGCAGACATAAAGCACTGCCTTGAGGACCTAGTGGGAAGACAGACACTGAAATAAATCAAACATGTTTGGTATGTTAGACGGTGGCAGGTGTTACCCTGTACAATAAAACAAGGGAGTGCTTTCAGATTGTTTCCAATGGACAAACACCGGGGACTGCCAAGTAAAGTAAGTCATGCTTCCTGCACTGCATGCACTTGCGCTCTCACGCAACCCTAGGACGTCCAAGACCACCTGCACACTACTACTTCCTGGATATCAGGAACCACAGAGAGCTTAGTATATTTGATACTTTTGTTAGTTCCTCTTTTAAGTACACTCTGAAGTTCATCTTCAAAACAGTCCCATCTTTTCCACTTACAGGAAGGATTACTTTTTAAACAAAAATTTGTCTAATACCTTCAGCATCAACATAACATGTAAGAGCAGCTTCACTGGTCAGTCCCTGAATGCATACAGACACATGCGTGTATTAACAGATGAAAATTCCCTGAAACCTTTCATCAAAAAACGAGTAAAAAAAACCTCCCTGACATTTCCTTGTAAAACAACCAACTAATATTAACGAGTCTTCACTTTTGAAATACAGTTTGAAATCCAGTATTCTTTCCTAGCTACCATTTGTAACTTCGGAAGGAAACTTCTTGGTTTCGGAAGCCTATGCAAATCGGAAGATAGTGCAGAGGGGTCAGATCAGAGATGTACCTCGTGTCTGACAAACTGCATTTTACATGCTACTCTTTCATTCTGAAAACCACCAACCTAATAATCAAGATTTTTATATTTTCCTCCACAAACAGCACTTGTTGAGCACTTATGGCCTCTTGCAATAGGTACAATGGGAAATAAACAGCAAACAAATGTTTCCTTTTAACTGTACTTGGAAATACGTTTTAGTGGTATCTTAATGCCACCCAAAATTAACCAGCATTTCGCAAACTGAAGGTATTATAACATTCCAATAAGCAACAGTATAAATGTACTTAATACCACTGAATCATACATTTTAAAATGGTTAAAATAGTAAATGTTTATGTAGCATACGGTAAATGTTGTATGTATATTTCGTCGCAGCAATGTTTTACCACAATACGTTTTATAAGCAATGTTATGATCCCACCTCATGATATATTATGTATATGTTTGCACAATTATGAGTAAATTTTAAAATAGCAGAAAGCCTCCGGAAGAAAACATCGGCAGACTGCAGCTACTTTTACTTTTCTTATACTCACCGTTGTCACCTAATCGTCCGTAATGAGTACGCTTTGTTTGCGTAATTGAAAGAACTCGGAAACCATTGCTCCAAATTCTCTCCACCAGGCGCCCCGGGCGGCGTGCGAAGCGCTCCCAGCTCCCAGATCGGCTGGCAGTGCTGCGGCGGGGACCGGATCGCGGGCCAGCCCACCCAGCGCCCGCCCCGGCTGCGGCCCGACCCCGCGCACGCCCCGCCCCCGCCCTCCCGCACCCGCGCCGCACAGCGGTCCCGGGCGCGCCCCTTGCCCGGCCCGGCCACTCACCCACACCCGCGCCGCCTCCTCTAGGCCCTCCGCCTGCCTGCACACCACGCGCGAGTCTCTAGGCCGAATGGGTCGCGCATGCGCGTCACCGCCCCGGGCCTCTGCGGCCTCTCTAGGAAATTGGGAGGACCAACGTCTCGGCTTCTCCCCCGTTGCAGGGCAGGGCTGGCCCGCCCCTGGGCCATTGGGTTCTCATCCCCTGCACACCCCACCTCCCGCGCAAGACGCCTGCCGGCGCCCCTCCGATTCCCACTCGGGCCCCAAAGCTCTATCAGCCTTGGACTGTGTTCCCGCTTCCCTCCCAATGTGTGTGCAGGACTGCCCTGGCCTCCCACTGCTCACCACCCCGCCGCGGGGAAGAATAGGGTCCAAAGCCAGGGTCAAAGGAAGGATCAGTAAGATCTAGCTGACCGCCCAACCGTCATGGCAGGAAGGAGCTGTTAACGGGTCACTCAGAACTCGCTGGGGACCACTTCAACGAGGGGAACCAGATGCTAGTTTCCAGGACTAGCCTTTCTTCCCTCATCACCACCACAAACGGGGGTAGGGGGGCGTGGGGGCGGGGGAAAAGGTATTTTCTCTTCCCAGCCTGTGGCACGCGAAACTTCACCTTCGCACCTCTCCAGCAGTTTTCTCCTATTAAAGAACAAACTTCTGAGTCCTGGGAAGGACTCAGACCGAACACGAACACCGGAGGAAGCGAAATGGATCCTTTATTGATGCATGCGGACGTAGAGGGGGTAGTGTCCCAATTCTGGGCCCCCAACAGCAGGAGGCAGGTACTTTTAAAGAATAAGGAGCAGAGAGTTATCTCTGGCGCCCAGGCGACAAGCAGTTTACAGAAGTAGGAAGCAAAAAAAAAAAAAAACCCTAGTCATTCTCTGGGTGCTGTGCTATGTTTTAAAATAGCTGCCAATTTCCTCTAACAAACTGAGTACATTTTAAAAATCTTATAGAGGATGGCAGGTGTTATTCAGGCAGATTACCTAATTAATGCAAACTAGGAAATTCTTTAATTACATTGTTTTTAAATTGATTTTAGACGGAGAGGAAGTGTGTAGTTCCAATTATTTATGCACTCATTGGTTGCTCCTGGTTCGTGCCTTGGTGGAAGATAAAAGGAACCCTCAACTTCCGCCAAGATGGAGGCATAGGTGGATAAGCTGTGCCTTCTCACACAACCAAGTTTAGAGACAACTTAATATTAGCAATAGAAAACACAGCCAGAACACGGAAAATTGAACTTTTCGGAAGTCTGTTAACGACAAATTCTTCAGCCTGACTGGTAAGGGGCGAAACCAGCGGCTGGTGAAGCGGGATTGCACAGGTCTTGGTCAGCCGGACTCAGGCTCGGAATCCAGGCGCAGGGTTGGACCTAGTGAGCGACCGAGCGAGCCACCAGGCCAGCGACCGCGGGGGAGACAGCGGGGGAGTGGTGCTGTGTGTTGACTGTGGTTGCACATTTGTGCGCGGGCAGACAGGCGAGGGAGAGGGCCGTTGGACCAGGGCCCGGCGGGTCCCCGGCAAGTTGGCAGTGGAGGGCGCCGCCATTTCCCTGCTCTGACCCCACCTCCACATACCGCGTCATAACCCAGCGACTCTAAGTGGCCCGGCCCAGGTGAATCACCTAAGCCTCTGTTCCTCACCCAGCTGTGAGAAACAGCAGAGGGGGTTGCCATTTCCCCCTCTGACCACGCCCCCACATACAGCGTCACAACGCAGCGACCTGGGAGTCCGAGCCTCCACTCCTCACACTTAAAGGGCCAGAACAGACCAAAAATGTCGCAAGATCTCAAATCCCCAGAGCCCATAGATCTAAGCGATGAAGAAATAGCAAAACTCTCAGACGCACAGTTTAAAACACTGGTGATCAGGATCCTCACAGAACTGGTTGATTATACCCACAAATTAGACAAATATATGAAGGCGAAACTAATTGAAATGAATGGAATTGAACAGGACACCAATAGCAATGAAAAGGAAACTGGGACTCAAATCAATGGAGTGGACCAGAAGAAAGCAAATAATGGCCAAACAGAAAAGAGTCAAGAAGCAAGAATTCAAAGAAATGAGGAGAGTCTTAGGAACCTCCAGGACATCTAGAAACGCTCCAACATCCGAATTATAGGGGTACCGGAAGGGGGAAAGGCACAGCCACCAGTGGAAAACTTATTTGAACAAATAATAAAGGAGAATTTCCCCAATCTGGCAAAGGAAATACACTTCCAGGAAATCCAGGAAGCTCAGAGAGTACCAAAGAAGTTGGACCCAAGAAGGAACACACCAAGGCACATCATCATTACATTAGCCAAAATTAAAATGAAGGAGAGAATCCTAGAAGCAGCAAGAGCTAAGGGGACAGTCACCTACAAAGGTGTCCCCATCAGACTGTCAGCAGATTTCTCAGAAGAGACCTTACAGGCAAGAAGGGGCTGGAAAGAGGTATTCCAAGTCATGAAATCCAAAGACCTACAACCAAGATTGCTCTATCCAGCAAAACTTTCATTTAGAATGGAAGGACAGATAAAGTGCTTCTCAGATAAGATCAAATTCAAGGAGTTCATCATCACCAAGCCCTTATTATATGAAATGTTAAAGGGACTTATTGAAGAAAAAAGAAGTTAAAGAAACATGAACAGTGAAAGGACAACAAACTCACAGTTATTAACAACCACACCTAAAACAAAAGCAAACTAAAAGGACAGCTAGATCAGGAGTGGAAACATAGAAATGAAGATCTCAAGGAGGGTTAGCAACAGGGGAGTGGGAGGAGGAGAAGGGGGGAGAAGGTACAGAAAATAAGTAGCATAGACAGTAGATAGAAAATAGATGGGGGGGGGGCAAGAATAGCATGGGAAATATAGAATCTAAAGGAATTGAGACACATGGTCATAAACTAAAGGGGGAGTAACGGTGCGGATGCCGGGGGTAGGGTGGAGGGGAATGAAGGGGGGAATAGAACAACTGTAACAGCTTAATCAATAAAAAAAATTAAAAAAAAAAAAAGGAACCCTCAACCTTTCCTTATCTGTCAGAAACTCTAACCTACTGAGCAACCCGGCCAGGGTCTTGAATGACTTCTTAAAGACAATAGGCGCCAGAGCTGCTGAGCCCCATGCCACCAAGTTGACACTCAACTTACAGTTCTGGCTGTCCCCAAAACAAAATCGTAAATCAATCAGGAATGGTGAGCATTAGTTCCGTAATCAGCCTGATCAACACTCGCCATCCATCTCATATAAGGAAAGTAACCTTGTAATAAATGACCTGCCTTTTTGCTTAGTTTAACTGCCTTGATTTTGTTCCCTTCTGCCTGTAAAGCCCCTTGCCTTGTATAGTATTTGGAAGCTCCTTTCTATCTGATAGACTGAATGTTGCCCACTTTATGAATCACTGAATTTCAAGTTTTAAACTTTGAATTTTGTCCTCTGACAGTCAGAAATGCCAGAGGCACTACCTTAGGTCAAGGAAATCCAGCAGTTCCTGGGATTTTAGAGACTGGGGTGGTTTGGGTTTGTTTTTTTTTTAAGTTTTATTTATTTATTTTTAGAGAGGAGGGAAGAGAAGAAGAGAAACATCAATGTGTGGTTGCCTCTCCCACACCTTCTACTGGGGACCCTGCCCACAACACACACATGTGCACTGGCTGGGAATAGAACCTGTGATCCTTTGGTTTACACACCGGCACTCAATCCACTGAGCTACACCAGCCAGGGCTGGAGACTGAGTTTAAGAATTCTCTTTATTCTTTCAAATTTGCCTGATGATTGAGGGTGGTAAGGATCAGTGATAATTCCAAGAAGTTAGTAAGCTTTTAGTTAAAGCTCATATGATTTTCCCAGTGAAGTGAGTGCTTTGGTCACTAGATATTTGGGAGGGTGTACCCCAAGTGGGAAGCACTTCCCAACAGTGTCTTTGCCACTGTGAGGGTGTCAGCCTTGCAGCAAGGGAAAGCTTCACCAAATCCAGAAAACATGCAACGACAAGAACATGTTGGTGAGCCATACCAGGTGGCAGTTGAATGAAGTCCAGTTGCAGATGCTCAAATGATCCACCAGGAGAAGGCTGAGGCCTCTGGAAACAAAAATCGTTTTTCCAGGATGATGAGAACGAAAGGTAGCCATTGGTTTTTACAATTTTACAGAAGTCTCTGATAGGAGCTAAGGGAAGTAGTCTTTAGGGAAGTAGTTTTTAGGGAAGTAGTCTTAAGAAAACTAAGTGGTTTGTTCGACCTTAGCAGCTTGCTCAAGCTTAGGCGGGAAACCGCACACCCCACCCCAGGCAGATACTCCAGGATGTTAAGAAAAGAACATGAAGCAATAAGAATTGGTCAAGCAGATAGCCTCCTGGAAATTTTTACCCCCTAGCATGAGCCCCTGGCCAACGGCTAACTGCCACCTCTTGCTTCTGGAAATCACTTGCTTGCTCGCCTCTATAAGAACCCTAGTCTGTAGGCGTTCGGCGCGACTCTCATCTGCAGCTATTTTTGGCACGGTGTCCTCGGACACCCCGAGAGCTCGCCCCTGCGCAGGTAAAGCTTTGACTCAATAAACATCTTTGACCCTCTGAAAGTCTTCGTCCCTTCTCTCGCGAACTTGGGATGTAACAGTCTCCACACCTACATTCATTCCCAATTTGAGTCACCTTTACTGTACCACTGTGAGTCAGTGAATGGGAAAACCAGAAGAGGGGTTTTGCCACACAGCTTGGAAGAACCAAGCAGCCATGTTGAGTCTCCCATGGCTGTGACTAAGTTTATAACCACTGTTTGCCCCTTGTAATTCCTCTGATTCAGGAGATGACTGTGGCCACGTCACCACAACCTCCGGATGACAAAAGGCAAAGTCTGGCCACAAGAGGTCATTTTTCAAAAGCAGAAAGGACTTCAT